GCCCGGGGCGGGTTGGGGTTGTCCGCTGCCCACGTGCTCCCTGGCTTTGCTCCCCATCTTCCTGGTCTGGGGAGACGTGGAGCAAAGCCGCGGAGCATGTGGGCAGCGGACAGCCCAGACGTGCCGTGGCTGTCCTGCTGCTGGCGTCCTCAGAGGCTTTGCTCCCCGTCTCTCTGGTCTGCTGGTCTCCAGCAGACAAGGGAGATGCGGAGCAAACCCCGTTCGTAACTGCGGATCCGACATAAGTCAGATCCGCATAACTCGGGGACTACCTGTATAACACATGGGAAACACCAGTTTCCAAAGTCCACATATGAATTCTTGGGCAGTCAGTGCCTTGGGTAGTGGGATAGATCTACTCCTTGGATCACTAAGTGCTTCTGATTGTGAGAGCAGACTAGTGATTTGGAGAAGGTTTGGGAAGGAAAGCAGCTATATTACTTTACATAGCTCCCAGAAGGTTACCTGGGCTGTGGAGCCCATAAGGAAATGGGAGACATAGAATATTTAAAAGAAGAGCTAGGACTCAACTGATGGTCACAAAGCTGAATTATACCATTAATACATAAGTATTTCTTTGAAACCAGACCATGCCAATTAAAATAATTTGATTATTTTTTACTGAAGTACTGGGCCTTATTAGAAAACTGAAGGGAAATGTTGCAAATGTGAAATGGCTATGAGTTAAGCAAAGAGGAATCTGTCAAGTTCTAGCAAAAGATAAATCAGTTTCTGAGAGTGCTGCCTTTCTTGCTCTATGCATAGTTGATACTTCATGTTATGTCTAGATGAAGTTCATGACTAGAGGGACACTGGCACTGTGCAACTTTGCTTGTCCCTTTGAATTATATGCAGGACACAGACAGATCTCTATCTCTTTTCAATAAACCCTTGATATTTTAATTGGTATTGGCTGGGGGGCCAATAGTTGATACTTCATGTTATGTCTAGATGAAGTTCATGACTAGAGGGACACTGGCACTGTGCAACTTTGCTTGTCCCTTTGAATTATATGCAGGACACAGACAGATCTCTATCTCTTTTCAATAAACCCTTGATATTTTAATTGGTATTGGCTGGGATTCCATTTGAGCTGGACTCTGCAAGGTTCTTATCTACCTCTCTGTCCAGTGATGTCTTTTGGAGCTCAGCACCTTTCAGGATTGGGCCCTTTATTAATACTCTCCTTACAAGTAGAGCTACATAATGTTTAACTCAGTCCTTTTGGTTTGTGCAGTCTCAACATATTGGGGAACGTGATTAAACAAAGCTTAATCTTGAAGGAAGGAAGTAGTCAAACCACATAATAAAAAACAACCTAGTGAAAATAAATCATAAATGTGCTACTGCTTCTTGGAATATGATTCTACTCATGAGCCTTTCTTCCTTCACCCAGATCTGTCAGCACCATGCGTAATCAGCGTTACCACATCCACGCCAACCTGTCCTTTGCCATCCTGGTGGCTCAGATCCTGCTTCTCATCAGCTTTCATTTCAGCCCTGGCACGGTAAGTAGTGAAAAGCACTTTTTTGGGGGGACAGATCACTTCATTGGAAGTAAATACAGCATGCCAAAAGCAAGAGTAAGTGCATTACAACCTTTCACTTATTTTAAACACACATGTGAGCCAAAATTCTCAAACCACAGCACAAGACAAAGCAGGTTGAAGGCTATTAAATCCCCAGTCTATTTTATCATTGCATCCATTCATGCTTTGCATTTGCAAAATAAAAACAGAGATACTGATTATCCAATGTATGAAACTATTTCTATTCTGTTCCAATGAACCTAGATTCTCATACTGTCCAAATCACCATAGAACACAAAGTGCTAACATCTTTCTAACATCTTTCATGGTGGTTTCATCCTTTCTCTTCACTTCTCCTGAGAAAGGAAATTGCACATGCAGCGGCATTTTATGTGGAATGGTTTTTTCCCCCATATGTCCATGATAGACTTTGTTCACATTAGACAAGGAGAACTGAAGAAGTATGCAACTTGCACTGATACTGTTAGGAAATGAGGTTTCTGTTGGTGCTAGTTCCTGTGGCAAACTGGTGGTTAGTTCCTTAGTATTGGACCAGCTCCAGAGAAAGCTCTGGATCCCAGGCTACATCTAGACTACATCCCTCTGTCGGCAGAGGGATATAAATGAAGCACTTCAAAAGTGCAAACGAAGCTGGGATTTAAATATCCCATGCTTCATTTGCATAATCACATAATGGCACTCTTTCGAAAAAGTGCTATTTTGAAATTGAAACCACAGTCTAGATATGGTTCTTTTGAAAATGGTGCGATTTTCGAAAGATCCTGTAAATCTCAAAAAAAAAAAAAGTTTGTTCCCAGCATTCCATATCTAGCACAGATCCTTGGGGCTTTCTCCTCCACTCCAGAAGTTGGTGCTCGCACTTTAGTCTTGCCGATGGCTGAAGGTTTTAGCTTCAGTGTAGACTCCTTGCTGTGTGGGCAGATGGGAGGGAACTGAGTTCCAGAAGAGCCATATCTGAAGTCCATGAGCTATACTTTTTTCGCTAGTGGTCCGTGCTGCCATTTTCCTTTAAGTACATATGCCAGTGTGGCCCTATGTTTCTTTTATTGGCACCCCTGTATTGGATGAGTAGCACATTGACAAAAAAGATTGTCTTGCAGTTTCCATTGATAACGGGATTTTGAACAAATTCATGTTGGCACCTTCTCTCCCCACCTACTCTTTTAAAATGTTAACTCATAGTAGCCTTTCTGGTGAAGGCAGCTCCTTTTTGGGTGGGTATTGCCAAAGCTGCACATGTTCACCAAGATCTGGCCTATGATGGTACTATGGTACACTGGTGACTCTGACAGCACTCAGGAGGTACACTGTCTCCCTGTGCCCCTGCCAAAATTTTAATTACTAAATGGGGTGCCCCCCCATGTCCCTCCCTGGTATCAGGGTGGCCCTCCCTTCATGGCACCCCTATGGGCACCAGTCACCCTTGCTGTGATTTCCTTTTCTGCATGCATACAAAGAAGGTTTTATTCAACTTGTTTAGGTAAGCTGATGTGTTTAACTTCTGAAAACTGATTACTTTTAACCTGCAAACTTCTGTGTACACACTAATTTCACTTTTAGCGTTCTGTAGTTCTAATGAGTTCTGAAGTTGACTTCAGCTAAACTAAACTAAACTAAACCTTCTTTAAACCAGAATTAGAATGGCACAGGTTTATCTCAGCAGCTTTAATATCCTGCCTTAAGTACACTGGCACAACTTTGTCTACAGATAGTCTCTAGGTGAAAGGTCTGCAGGTTTGACAGGAAATTTGTATCTAATGACTTGATTCTCCAATGCCCTGCACTTTGTGCCATCATTTACATAGGTATGAAGTCTTGGAGAGCTAGCCGTGTTAGTCTGTAACTTTAAAGATGAGCAGTCCTGAGGCACTTTAGAAACTAACAAAAATATATAGTATCATGAGCTTTCGTGGGTAAATTCCACTTCATCAGATGAGCTTGTTTTTCCCACGAAAGCTCATGCTATTATATATTTTTGTTAATCTCTAAGGGTATGTCTACACTACCCTCCTAGTTCGAACTAGGAGGGTAATGTAGGCATACCGCACTTGCAAATGAAGCCCGGGATTTGAATTTCACGAGGAGTAACAGTAGTTTGAACTAGGAAGCCTAGTTCGAACTACCTAGTTCATGCCCCGTGTAGCCGCGCTGCACGGGGTTCGAACCAGCGGGGTTTTAAAAATGGCGGCTCCCCGCTTATGCAAATGAAGCCCAGGAAATTAGCGGGGTAGTGTAGACATACCCTAAGGTGCCACAGGACTGCTCATTTTTTATAGGTATGAAGTACTTCCTTCCAAATGAGAGAGCCTAAAACACAGGGCAAAGCAGAATCAACCAATCAAACTCAGGCTCACTTTCCTTTTCCTTTTTTTCTTTTAGCTTCAGATATTTCCAACATACCCATTTTAGTTAATGTTTGCTGGGGCTCTATATAGTGGGAAATTGAAGGTGCAAATTGAAGTGAACCAATTTCAAAATAATTCCTTCAAACTCCTGCAACACTTCTTTCAATATTTATTTAATTTCCCCTTTTGTAAGTCCAGTTTTTTAGAGTGTACATTTTGGTAGCAGGTCCTGCCTAGAACATAGTCATGGCTCAGCATGTAATGTTGACCTTCATTTGATTCTTAGATGGACAGGTGAATCATGATCTAATGCATGAGCTACAGTAATGGGTTTTCTGTCTTGTTCTTCATCCAGTGCATATGATTAAAATACCAATTAAGAGTAATCAGTTTATTAACAACAGTTTATGCAGGGAGTAAAAGCTTTCAAGGACACAGTATGTCATGCATAAAGTTCAGTAATTTTCATCCTTTCACCCATATAATATTTATTTTATATTAAAACAACAAAGCAAGAGAGCACAGACAGTGTGCTTGTCTCTTCTATGAATGGCTTCATCCAAGCACAAAATGCCCACTGCCTCCACAACAATTAGGGGGACTGTTCTTCATTTAAAAGTACAGTAAACAGCATGTCAAAGGTAAGCCTGGATTTGTTCCTGGTTCTTTCATTGACTTGCTCAGAGACCTCAGCCAATGTATGGAATCTGAGCTTCAGTTTCCACACCAGTAAAATAGGAATAATCATATGTATCTTGTAAACTCCTGGATGAAAAGCTCTTCATAAATATGAATTACATGTTTATTTTTGTTATGTGAGGTAGCTCAGGTTTTGTGTGTTGTATTCTGATAGAGGACCCTGGGATCTTTGGTATTACAGTTCAGTCTGCTTATGATTCCTGTGGCCTTGAAAGCTTTTACTTACTCAGTGTTCTGCTGTTAGTAATTTTAAAACTAATTACCCTTAATTGCTATTTTAATTGCATGGGCTGGAGGATGCTGCACAGTAAAAGATCTTCTCTTTCTGTGAGAGATGGTATTACTTAGTAAAGGCAAAAAATCTATAATCCTATACACAACACCATATTTCAGATGATTTTCACACGTCAAATGCAAGAAGCTGGGACTGGCTATCAAGGGAATCACTCAAAATTGCCCTGTTCTGTTAATTCCCTCTGAAACACCTGGCAGTAGTCAAAAGATGGGATACCGAAACATTGGTTTGACCCATTTTTATATTTTTAGTGTAGGAGCAGTTAAGTTTATGTATCCAAGTTAAGCACAGCAAAGGCCTAGAACTGGCATTATCTAAAGAAAGGATGCTTCAGTACCTGAAATGACCACTGCCCTTGGATTTTATGCTGCATCTCTCTCTCTTTTGTCTGGGTGCTTCAGTTTGGATACCAAAGAGGTAGCTCAGTGTGTGTGCTGATCAAGCAGCTCTCAGTTACATTGCCTGTCCATTTGTCATTTCTACTATATTAATGTTGCAGGGTGAGCACAAGTATAGCCAATTATAGTATAACCACAGAACAGAGAAACTCTTTCTTTATAAATGTACTTTGTAGAAAATGTAATCCCTAAGACTGTTAAACAACAAGGAAAAACTGGCATTAGAGGTTGTACAGCTCTCCATACAGAATTAATCCTGAAGCCACCTACCTGGGCCATTTTCTTAAGGACAATAGCTTCTTCACATACCATATTTTATCTTTGCCATCCAGATGATGGCAACCAAAGTGGAATTAAAAAAAAAAATTAAAGATGTATGTTTTTACCTGCTGCCCCCCTTCCAAAAAAATGTTAATGAATCCAGTAACCTACATGTTTGTTTAAAAAATCTTCAGTGAAGTTCATAGTGACCTAGGGGCAGTAAATAGCCTTATGCTTTACTGGCAAAACCCAGTGTGCATCAACAATTGTTTAAATTCTGCAGTTGGTATATTGATCTGTTTTTCACTCTGTGCTCCTTCAGAACAATGTAGAACCATAAACCCAAGAAAGAAAGGGTATGTCAGCTCCACAACATGAGCTAAAAACAATTACCTTTGCTTATGCTGCACTCCTACAAGCATCTGCCTAAACTGAAGACCAAATGATTTTCATGGTTGATTGGCTGGCTGGCTGGTTGGTTGGATGGTTTGATGATGTAACTAAACTGCCACTCTAGTTACAGACACCATCATAAGTTGGAGTTAGACAGTTTGCCTAAATGAGACTGTATTCAGTCTGCATCCATGCATCACATAAACCTTAATTTCCCTTCTACATTGGTTTTGCTTCACTTATCTACTTGCTGTTTCTGGTACATCTGGTTGCCTAGGCAGCAAATAAGTATTTCACATTTTACAAATCTAGCTTCTACTTTAGCTTGGTTTTCTGTTCTTGCGTAAATCAGATGGAATTTAACAGTTATTGTTTGGCCTCTGACATTATGATACAGAACGTAACCAGGATTTTGTTTAGATTTAATCAATTAAGAGATCCAGCTGTGGCCCAGTGTCACCAAAACATTTCAGAATTCCTTATGTCAATATGTTTCTGTAAAGGGAAATCATGTCTTACTAATCTATTACAGTTCTTTGAAGGGGTTAATAAACATGCAGATAAGGG